ACCAGGGCTGGGAAACACCGCCAGCATCAGAGGGCATCACAAAACCCAACAGGAGGAGGAAACTTGTGGGAAAACATGGCTTCTCTACAGAGAAGTTCGAGTAAACATAAATTCATATGATTTTAGAGCAGAATGGTCCTGAGCAAAGAGGTGACATATCCCAGACTCCACAGGACGGGTGTGGTGGTACCCAGGCAGGACATAGGATGCAATGTGGACTAGAACACTAAACACTGAAGATTTATTTAGAGACAGATATTTTCAAAATTTGAAGAAGGACACAATGTTTACCATCTAAATACAAACAATCCTCAAATCAGCCACACTTCTGCCGCTTCCAAATGGGAATGGACTTACCATGCATACAAGCTTGTTGTCCTGCGTCTCCTTCTCAAAGGAGACATCGGCGGCATCGTCACCTCCAGCAATTCTTTCCCCTATGTCCCCGCTGATACGCATCACCTCCACGTGCAGCCGGCCTGCCACCTGTAGCAACCGGGGCAAAAGCAGATCCTTTTTCCAGACTTTGTTCTTTCTTCTGTTTTAGAGCCAAGTGGTTAGGTTAATGGCATAGCAGGTTCTAACAGTTACTTTTCCTCAAAGTACTTGGAATAATCACCGTCAAGCAGAACGGAAACACAGATATGAATAATGCACATAAACAGTGCCTGCCATTACTGACGGAAAACTGTAACGGTGTGCCACCACCACCCTGCTGCTCCTGAACTATGCTCTGCAGGATCCAAGGCATGGGGCGGACACTAACCTCTCCCTTCTGGTTGACGATTGGAACGGCATACTGTAGCTTCACATCATAGAAGAGGGACTCAAGGAAGACATTAGCCACCCCGATGAGACTGTGGTTTTCCTGCTCATCAAAGAACGGATCTGCACGCTTGAAGTAAGACCGGATCACCTTGTGTGTTCAAAAAACACAACTTCAGAAAATCACTCCAAATAAACGAATTCAACCTATCACTTTTTGATGCAATCTAATGAAGTCATCAAACTTAGCTGAAATACAGCACTGTGCTACACATGCGTGCACAGGTACACACACACACACACACACACACACACTCCCTCACGGCCAGTTAGTGGTGGTCAGCAATCCCAGTAACACATCATTACTTTAATCATCTCTTACCCTTTACGTAGAAACCTTGCCATGAAAATAGAGAAAATATACACTGGCTAGAAAAAGCACAAGAGTGTATGAAAGTACTCTGTTCTGGGTTTTTTTTTTTGGAGGGGGTGTTATTTATTTATTTTATATGGAGGCACTGGGGATTGAACCCAGGACTTTGTACACGCTAAACACGCACTCTGCCACTGAGCTATATACCCTCTCCGTTTTTCAGTCACAGCTATTTCACTTGTTTCACCAAATCCTTAGACACACTGCTGCTCATGAGAGGCGGCCCCCTTACAGGAGCATGATTTGCTTTTTGCTATTTGTTATTAGTATTGTTTCATTTCTAAGTTGAAATAGGAGAGGAATACAGAAGGAAATAAAAACAACTTTTTAAGGAAAAATGTCATCTGACTATAAGAAGTCATGTTTATTAAACACTTTCACAAAACAAGAGGCTAAAGAAGTAAACAACTCCATGTGGAAACAGGACCAGCAGTGTTGAAAATACGTAAAAATATACAGAATTCTTATTTCTCTCTTAAATATGTCCAAGCACATGGCTGACCTAGATGAGAAAACTTGCAACTTGAGGACAGAGGACCAGCATTCAGATCTATGGCACCTACTTTAGGATCCAAACTCCTTCAAAATATGTTCCTAATAGTATAAATATTAAGGTACCACTGATGTTCAATTCAAAAAGCAGACGTTGTAGGTTTATTATCTGCAAAATTAAATGTGTTGAGATATAAGAAGAGACATAATAAAGCATGGTCTCTGTCCTAAATAAAACTACAGTTGTTGGGGCAGGAGGCAGGGTAGAGCTCAGTGGTAGAGTGTATGCTTAGCATGCACGAGGTCCTGGGTTCATTCCCCAGTACCTCCATTAAATAAATAAACCTAATTACCTCCCCTTGCATATGTGCGTGTGTGCACACACACACACCACAGTCCAACACGGGAGACAGATTCATGTAACACCAACAGAACCCAGAATGAATGCAGATTCTACTAGAAACCCAGAGAACACAAAAGAAGATGCCTGAAAAACAAGTTATTAAAGCTCCTTATTAGCTAAACAATTTAAAGGACTAAAGTAAATAATTTATAAAACAACATATTTTGGAAAAATGAACAGTTCTTTCTTAATATGGGCATTCCTGTGTTATTCCTTCTATGACTGTCAGGGAATTTTTCTCAAGTAACTTACTGGGGTATCTTCTTCACACTCCTTCCACTCCTGATAAAGGTCTCTCATATCCAACAATCTGTTGTCCAGTTTTTCCAAAGACCAAATCTGCTTTCCTTTCCCTTTTCTTCTCACCTGGATTGCAGGTTCACTAAGGAGAGAGCCTCGCTGCAAAGATAGAGTGAGAATATGAAACACAAAGACATCTACATGTCGTGGAAGTCAATCCTGAACATCCTGTACCCTCCAGTCCAATGTTATCAACTAAAACTGAAACTGTATCCTTCTTTAATCTGCTCAGTGCAAAACTTCCAAGTAATCTTACAAGCTCACTACAATGCCATTCTATTCACCTGCAATCAGAATTTATATATAAATCTAAATTTAACTTTCAAATCCAGAACAGTAGACCATGTTTAATAGGAAGTCAAAGATGTTTTGTTCGGGCCATCATGTGACCAAAGAGCATCAGTGGTAGGAAAAGAGTTATAAGCCCTGGGGAAGGGAAAGCTTGCTGGGATGGGTAGTTAACCTTTCAAAAGTTTGAATTTTTAAATTTTTTTGAATGGGTAGTATCTTAATGTGGTACAAAACACAAAATGATTAAAAGACTAAACTGTGAAAAGTATCCTATTTACCCATTTGGAGGCAACAAATGATACCAACTTCCAAAGACACATAATTTGAATTTTTTTTTATTAAAACAGTATAGAACTAGACAGAGATGCTGGTTACACAACCCTGTGAATGTATTAAATGCCACTGAATTGTTCACAATAATTAATTTTATGTTAGGTGAATTTCACCTCAAAAAAAAAAAAGTACTCATTGAAGTTTTCCCAGCTTAGAAAAGCAATGTGGTTTTGATGTTAAAAAAAAAATTTTTTTTAACTTTTTAAAATCACAAAGTAGAAAATAAAACTGCTCCTGTTCATCTCCTCCAGAGAGGTACCAATCAGGGATCTAATCAGCTGATTTACTGGCTAAATTTTTCAACTGTTCTGAAATGTCTACTTAGAACTTTTAGAGAAATGTGAAAGTCACTAACACTGCATTAATGTCTTGCGTATAATTGTTTCCAAAGAAACAGAATTTACGTTAGGAAGCAAAGATTTTAGAACCCTGAAATTCAAAAATTACCATCCTCTCACGTACTGTAAAGGCCCTTCTGCCTCATATTCAGCCAGCTGGGGAATGAATACGGGAGTCTCATTAGTGCTCTGCAAGTGGGGCGGAGGAAGAGGTTTCAGGGGAGAACGCGAGAACTGGAACTAAGTCGCCATGAGCAAGATGCCGTGGCATTGTGACCTGGCCCTCCTGCAATAACCACAAGGACTGGGAAGAAGGGAAAAAAGAAATGCCTGCCCCTCATCAAAAAGCACCAGAGAGAGGTGAGCACAAGGGCAGGAGTGAGACCGGAACAATGGCATTCACAGTATGAACAAGACACTAAGAGAATTTTAAGTACCTCCCCCTCAACAACAAAAAAGATTTTGTTAGATAAAAGAGAACAAGACCCAGCCTGAGTTAAGGGAGATCATCTCCTTAGGAAATACTTCCTGTCTAGGTCCTCTTTCTGGCTGAAATCTTCAAATAACTATCTTTTACATCAGTCATAGTGGAGGGGGTTAGTAGCCACCTGTTAACAACAGCTACTTCCACTCCAGCAACGTGTCATCTCTACCAGGAACAGGAGCAGTCCCATGAACACACTCCCAGGTGGCTGGAAGGAAAGAGATGCCCAAAGTCACTTCCAGGTGTTCACCTGGCTGCCCCCGAGGCAGGGTTGCTCCTTCCAACAAGCCCAAGCCAGGATACACGGAACAAGGTGACAGTCATGCTCAACGAGAAAAGTGTTCAGGTTTCTGTTTCTTTAACTTAAACACTACGGAAAGGAAGATGACCGGCTCCTGCTCTTCTCAGTCTTCTAGAAGAAGCTGAGCCCTGGACCTTCTGTCTACGACTGGCTTTCTCCTACTGTTGTCTGTCTGCGAGTCCCAATGCATCCATCAATTTGCCCTCCAAATTCCACCAAGGAAAATAAAGTTCTAAGTGGGTAAAATCTTTCAAGCCACACACAGAATACATATCTAAAGATAATTCTCCAGAGAGTAATGACTGTGTCACAATATCTTTATTACGAAAAACATTAAGCACTGTATTTGCCAAGTATCTACCCCATGCAAAAACATCAACTTTGATGCTATGATGCCACAGGAGGAAGAAAGATGTGGTCCTTGCTATCAAATTAACACCCAAGAAGGATTCATTAAAGCTGTGCTGTGTTGGGTACTGTGGGAGAAACGAAGCACAAGGACCCCTGTAAATATTTATCTGAACGCAAGACTCTTCCTAATCCATCAAAAATTATGTATTAACATGACCAAGAACTATAAAAGAACTTAAGCAAGAAAGGAAACAACCGAATGGAAAGGATGGGAGATTCTGATGGTATTTACCCCTACATTTTATTAGGCTTCTTACATTATACAAAAGAAAAAAGAGACAGATCTGTGATCATGAAAATCCACGTGAAACAATGTGTGATAAGTTTTGCCATGCCAACTGCTGACAGGTAGAAACTGACACACACGCTGCAAGTAAAATGAACACAACTGGGGCAGAGGGGTCAGGGTAGGTGTGGCAGAGAATGAAGGGAAGAACCACCTGGGGAAGACTCATCAGGAGAGACTTCTCAGAAATAATCTAAACAAGTTTGAAAATAGGAGTTGAGTAAAATTAATTGGTAGAGCTGGGGGGTGGGGGGTGCAGGCAGTGAAAGAGGATATTTCTAGCAGATAAAACACATATATGCACAAAGAGAAATGGAAGTAAATTCTGCTCAACAGAGGACACGTACAAAAGGACCCAGACTGCAGAGGGTACAGATGGGGACGAGGGCAAACCCACCAGGGGTCAAATAACACTGGTGAAACATGAAGCAGTTTTAGCCAATGATACCATTTTTTTCATCAACGGCAACCTCACCTTCCTGTTGGCATCGAGGCTGGAGGCTGGAATCTGTAGGGTTACTTTATACTCTGTTCTTTTATCCAGCTCTTCTGCGATGTAACTGGCTTCTCTCACCAACAGATTGGCTTTGACGATCTGTTCCCTCAACCTCATCAGGCTATTATTCAGTGTTGCTTCTCTTTAAAAAAAAAAAAAAAAAAAAAAAAAAGGTGGGGAGAGGCAGATAACCATCAAGCAGCATATCAGAATATTACATAGCACATAATGTTAATGCAAACTGCGAACGAAGCTTGCCAACTGTCTCTTGCACACAGGGAATACATCACCGACACTGACCCATGCACGCACTTGAACGCGGGCTACGTGACAAGCACCGGCACGTGCTCCTGTAAGAAGCTGGCCAGAGACTGGGGCAGAGCTTTGCAAACTTGACTGTGTATATAAATCACCCAGAAGTCTTGATCAACTGGAGACTTAGACTCAGTAGGTCTGGGGTGGGGAGCCTGAAACACTACATTTCTATCAATCTGCAGGTGGCAGAAATGTTGTCTGTCTGCCGACCAACTCTGAAGAGCGAGAAGTTAGTTAAATATGACCTGTAATCATGGATGAGACATTTAGTGCAATGCCAATCAGCCCACAGAGAGATCAAACTTGCAATCTAAGTCTCATTGGCACCATGCATACCTACCTGATAAACCACCTTTTTTTCCTTTTTTAAAAGAGCATCTACCCAAGCTTCAGAACCTAAAGTATAATACAATGATAAAGTATAACTTCTAAGTACAAATATTTATTTACTCAAATCCGAAAGCCATTCAAACTGAAAATGGGGACGCACCTAACAGGGACTGTTTAAATAAATCAATATAAATTGACAGTTCCCCTGACTTTTTTTTTTCTCCAAAAATGGGGGCGGGGGGCATAATGCCAAGTGGTTCTTAGCTGTAACACTCTCTTTTAATATAATTCATTTTCACTTTAAGGTCTAGATTTTTCCATCCTGTATGTTGCCCAGTGGGTTCAGGGTGACGAGCACATGCCACACGTGTGACAAGGGCCCTACGCACCACCTACCTCTCTTCGGCCCACTGTCTGAGTCGCTGCTGAGCGCTGGGCGAGTGGAAAGAAAACCTATCTGCGCTCCGGCAGTTCTGCTTCTCCGGGGACAGCCGCCGCCGCAGCTGCTCCAGCTCGTGCTCATACATGAGCCGCTGGCGCTCCAACGCGGACCGTTTCTCCTCTTCATGCTGCTGTTCCAGGCTGTTCAGTATGGACTGCATTGGATCTGAACAAGTTTTTTTAAGGCAAATAATAAACAAAAGGTTAAAACTGCACAACACAGTATACTTCAAACGTTGTTCTATATTGTTACGTTGTTTGTCATCCTAATTAATAAAATAAAGACAGTCTGGAAAAGCTTAGCTTTCCTTACTCCCAATTACCGATCACATTATCTGTTCTGTCTGATACATGCGACACTATCTTCTGCACGGGAAAAGCAGGTCTACTGTATGCTCTATTCATAACCTAAAATAGAGGGAATGCTCCAGAAATCCACTACGTAAGTCAGTGGCAGTCAAGTTTCAAATCTAGAAATCCTATCAATGAGAACAAAGTTTGCAGTGATTTGCATATCAAGGCAGAAGAAAATTTAATTTATTATAAAATATAGTAAATTAAAACCAAAGACACAAAAGAAGTGAGTACAGAGAACAACAACTTTTTTGCTAACATTTAAAAAAGTCTCAGTTGTCAACATCTCTAACACTCCACCGACTTTAAAAGGTTCTAAAACACAAACAGGACTGCTCACCATTACTGCCCAGAGCCTTCATGGTTACCTCCATCTGTGCATACTCATAATTGAAGTTGATCTCACTGGACACCTCACTGGAAGAGTCTCCGTCTACATCCAGCTGCTCAGAACTGGTATCATTCTTCATGGATGTGTCTTGCTCCTCATCCTCTCGATCTGCTTTCTTTTTCTTTTTAGGCAAATTAAGTCTTGAGGGGAAAGAAGAGTATTTCTTAAAGATATGCACTGATTCACTCCGTTCATTAAGTACTGGCATTTGCTAGATGCCAAGGGGATACCATGTAAGAAGACAATCACTGTACTCGGAAGTTTCTGCTCTAGAAGAACTAAAACACACACAAGTGCACAAATAATGACCACAGAGGGTGTGACACAAGGCCACGCAACAAGCTGAGGACCACTTCAGACTGGAATAGCAGGGGAAGGGTTGATCCAGTAGGAAGTCACTTGAGCCAAGCCCTACAGGGTAAGGAGAAAGCAGGGCATTAGGACAGAGGAATGGCACAAGGAGTGGAAACTCTTACAATCTCTGGAGAAATTATAAATAAAACAACACAGAGACACACAAAAGTTGTATAGCAGAATAGCAGAAGTTGTGCGAGATAATGGTGGAAAGATCAACTTAACTCAAACTATGAGGGCTTTTTTTAATTGGAGATTTACAGTGTTTCAGGTGTACAGCAAAGTGATTCAGATATACATATACATATGTATATATAGATATATTCCTTTTCAGATTCTTTTCCGTTATAGGTTATTACAAGTTACTGAATATAGTTCCCTGTGCTATACAGTAGGACCTTGTTATCTGTTTTATATGTAGTAGTATGTATCTGTTAATCCCAAACTCCTAATTTATCCCTCACCCTGCCTCCCCTTTGGTAACCATAGGACTGTTTTTTATGTCTGTGAGTCTGTTTCTGTTTTGTAAATAAGTTCATTATTATCCTCTAGATTCCACAAACAAGTGTTACCAGATGATATTTGTCATTCTCTGATTTACTTGGTATGATAATCTCTAGTTCCATCCATGTTGCTGCAAATGGCAAGATTTCATTCTTTTTTATGACTGAGTAATATATGCAGAAAGAGCCTTTGATTAAATTCAGTATTCACTGATGATAAAAAAAACTCTCACCAAAGTGGGCAGAAAGGGAACATATCTCTATATAAAAGCTGTTTATGACAAACCTATAGCCAGTGTAATACGCAACGGTGAAAAGCTGAAAGCCTTCCTGCTAAAATCAGAAACGTAACATGTCCACACTTCTATCTAACACAGTAGTGGAAGTTCCAGCCACAGCAATCAGACAAGAGTAAGAAAGAAAAGGGATCCAAATTGGAAGAGAAGAGGCAAAATTGTCATTATATGTGGAAGACATGATACTATACATAGAAAACCCTAAAGACACCACATAGAAACTATGAGAACTGATAAACGAATTCAGCAAGGTATCAAGATACAAGATTAACAACAGAAATCTGGTGTGTTTCTTCACACTAGTAATGAAATATCAGAAAGAGAGAGTTAAAAAAAGTCTCTTAAAATCATATCAAAAAATAAAATAGCTAGGAATATACCTAACCAACGAAGTGAAGGATTTACACCCTGAAATCTATAAAACACTGATCAAGGAAACTGAAGATGATCCAAAGAAATGGAAAGGCATCCCATGCTCTTGGACTGGAGGAGTTAATATTGTTAAAATGGCCACAATACCTAAAGCAATCTACAGATTCAATGCAACCCCTATCAAATTATCCATGGCATCTTTCACAGAACTAGAACAAGTAATCCTAAAGTTTATATGGAACCACAAAAGATCCAGAATTGCCAAAGCAACACTGGGGAAAAAAAAAAAAGAACAAAGCTAAAGAAATAACCCTTCCAGTCTTCAGACAATACTACAAAGTTACAGTCACAAACAGTGTGATATTGGCACAAAACCAGACAGCTGGACCAATGGAACAGAAGAGACAGACCAGAAATAAGCCCACCAACCTGTGGTCAATTGATCTTTGACAAAGTAGAAAAGAATACGCAAAGGAGAAAAGACAACCTCTTTAGCAAGTGGTGCTGGGAAAGCTGGACAGTCACATGTAAATCAATGAAGTCAGAATACTCCCTCATACCATGTATTAAATAAACTCAAAATGGCTTAAGACTTCAATAACATTCTTTGACATAAAACAGTAGCAGAGTTTTCTTAGGTCATTCTACCAAGGCAATAGAAATAGAAGCAAAAATAAACAAATGGGACCTAATTAAACTTACAAGCTTTTGCACAGCAAAGAAAACCATCAACAAAACGAAAAGACAACCTACAGAATGGGAGAGAATACTTGCAGGTGAAGTGACTGACAAGGGGTTAATTTCTCAAAGGTCCAAATAGCCCATACAACTTAATACTAGAAAAACAAAAAACAATTTAAAAATGGGCAGAAGACCTAGACACTTCAAAGAAAACATGCACATGGCCAACAGGCATATGAAAAGACGCTCAGCATCGCCAATTACTAGAGAAATGCAAATCAAAACCACAAATAGGTGTCACCTCACATCAGTCAGAATGGCCATCATCAAAAAGTCTACAAATAATAAATGCTGGAGAAGGCGTGGAGAAAAGGGAACCTTCCTACACTGTTGGTAGGAATGTAAACCGGTGCAGCCACTGTGGAAAACAGTATGGAGGTTCCTTAAAAAAACTGAAACTAGAGTTACCATACAATCCAGCAATCCTACTCCTGGGCCTATATCCGGAAAAGATGAAAACTAATTCAAGTGAATGAAAAACATTTCCCACACACTTTGTACTCCTCTACTCTTTCTTCTATAATCAAAACAGCAACTGGCCCACGAGCAAAGGATCCAGTCAGTCTGATAACTGAAGCACAGCGGCAGGAAGTGGAATGGAGCAGGATTTTATTCACACTCTATCCAGCCTGCCTGTCCTTGTCAATCCAACACCAGTTTTGTATGGGAAACAAGGTGTGCAGTCCCAGGTCAGACACTTTCTTTCTCAGCGTCCCTTGCAGCTGAGAGGCAAATTTTAGCAAATAAGATTTAAGTGGAAGGTTGCCGGGGACTCTGGGAAGACTTCTGCTTCTTCTGATCCAAGAGGATAGTCAGGGCTGGTCCTGCCACCCCTCCACCTCATTTTCTTTCTATGTGCCCAATTGCTGCTTTGATGCCTGGAGCGGCACAGCCACAGGAAAAAGCCAAGACGATGACAACACTTCTGCCACGACATTTTTGAGGGGCTTAGCCAATGCCAATAACCGTCTTCTTTCAGAGTCCTTGTTTTGTCAGAGAAATAAACTATCTGTTTAAGCCATCAGAGCCAAGTTTGCTAAAAGCATTCCTAAATGATATATGAACCTTATTATATGGATAAGGAAACTAAAACCACTGCTTACAAAATAATAATAAAAAATAAAAAGATAAGCATGTCAGAAAATAACTAATACGTTCATATACCAGATGGCAAAACAATATTCCTCCACTGGGAAACAAAAAAGAAAAAAAACATGTAAGTAAACACAGTAACTTCCCTGAGTGTACTGTTCACATGTCCCTCGGGCTCAAGCCATATAGTGAACAAACATATATATATATATATATATAGTGAATAAATATATATGCGCACAAAACAATGTAGCATTTTCATGGCACTAAGTTTACTTCTGTTTCAGAGTATAACCATCAATAATCTCCTTCTTTAAGAGCCACGAACATCCTACCTGAAGAAGTGGTTGTTTCCCCATAATATCCTGTCCCCGTGGTGCAGCTGAATAGGACTGGATACAGAAGAGCCATTTACAAATGTTCTGTGGGGAGAAGAGGGCAAGGATGTGCACAGTGATTCTCATCTTTTCTCCTTTAATTTTCAGTGCAATATAGGAAAAAAAAATCAATTCCCCAAAATAAAACCTGCCGTTGGTGAATTTTATTATTTGTATTTACTTCTTTGCTGATTTACCTAAAATGCTTACGGAACCAAGTATAATAGGTTATTATCCTCTATTTTCCAAAGTTCTAAATTCTTGTATATAGCATGTTAAGGAGTAAATATGGAACCATTACAGCCAATAATAAAAGATGGTAGCAGTGAACAGTGTAACTAAAACAAGTATGTCCAATCTACATGGATAAAAAGAGACGTCAATCAACTAAACTCAGAAGTCTCTACAGGTATCAGGATAACAAATGAGACCTATGTTAAATTATTCTGTAACTTCCTATAGCATAGAAAAATGTCCATATCCTATCAATATATAGAAGATGTATAAGACCGACTTGACTGCTTATCTTAGAAATGGAGTTCAACAGAAGAATGATGGGGACAAGGGTATTAAGGGAAAATTTTAGAGGGGCAGGAAATAAATAGAAAATCATGCATACCACAAAGACTGACATTCCTGGAATACCAGTGTCATCATGCCTCTCTCCTACTGAATGACTCATCTGCTCAGATACAGGATAAAGGTCAAGTTCTTTACCTTGACATTTAAGGCCCTACAAAAGGAAACCCTCTTTATCTCCTCCTTTCCCTCTTCTAGTGAATTTGCAACATGAGCAAAAAAA